ACCACTTTATGCAGCCTAGGAAGACTGTCCCTCATCCTCCATCTGAGCAAAAAACGTGTCACTCCTAAACAGGTCACTTGCATAGTTGGTCTGCAGAGGTTAGCCAACTATTTAACATTTTTTGATAATATTATATATATATATATGTATGTATATAAGTGTTTTATTAGACTTTTCCAATTAGGTATTGTTTTCGTGACTACCAGTAAATCAGTAGTATGAGTTGTATTCACCGAATTTCGTTCAGGGTGAAGGACTGATAGAAGAATTTTCCCACAATTATGTGAATTGAGTTGACGTTTCCATTGAATTTCACATAGCCTTGGTTTCCCAAAAAAAGTTTTCATCCAGGTTGGATTGTGGATGAAGCAAAAGTATTTTTGCTATAACAATCGACTATGTTATTTTATTTTTCGCATTAAGGTATTATCTCGAGACTACCAGTAAATCAGTAGTATGAGATGCATTCACCCAATTTCCTACAATGACTGCAGTTTCAACCTCGCAGTCCACCTTGGATGAGAATAACTTTTGGGAAAGCAAGGCTATGTGAAATTGAATGGAAACGTCAGCTCAAATCATATCATTGTTTCATCACCTTAAACGAAATTGGGTGAATACACCTCACGTTTTATTAGAGTTAATAATCTTCCAATTAATGGAGGATTAATTATTTTGTGTTCTAATCCGACTGAATAGAATGAGCATGTGCTCATTCAGCCGCCACTCTTCGTCTGTACCGATAGAAATGAGAGTAGCATATTTAAAAAGAAAAAAAAACTATAAGTACCGGTTAGCAACCAGATGCTAATAAGTAAAGTTAAAAGCGAAATATCATCTACTGATTATTAATATATGGCATTTTGTAATTGTTTAGGTATATGATTATAATTCTGCACAATATCATATATTTGCATTCGTTTAAAAGAGTATTATGTTGTGCCATACTAAACTACGCTATACTATACTGCTATAATTAAGTAATATGCAATGCTATATGATATTTATATTGTATATAAATGCATTCTTTATTATAGCAAGTATGCACGACATGGCATATGATTATATTCGGCAGTGCGAGACGAGACGACTGTCGTAGGGGCAAAATACTCGACATTTACTGCCCTCACCGCAAACTGGCCACAGCCTCACCAGAAAAGACCGTCCGCTTCTCGGCAGCCACCGGTTCGGAGGGAGATAGCGAGAATAGGAGAAGAGCGGAAAACGAGCCAATTCGACTAGCAGACGCGGATCCGGCAGCCTTGCGCCACATCGAATTGTGCCAGAGACGGTGTGGCTATACGCGAAGGGAGAGTGTGACGAGTGTGGCTGAATGAGCGCTCATTTGGTGACACAACACTAAAAGGACAGCAAAATCCCAGTGGATCGGGACTTGGTTGCGATGACGTCGTCATGCCAATAATTGCGCATCGTGCGCGAGGTGGGTTTGGAAGCGATTCCGCCCATTTCCGAATCGACTATGAATCATACAACTCGTGGGCACGTCTGCCAAGTCAGACAATTGTAGAGCCGCAGCGAGCAGAGATGGGCTTACGCAGGTAAGCAGCAAAAGAGGGCGCCCCGGAGAGTGAGGAGTGAAGCTTGTTGCCAGGCTGCAATGACACAACAGTCGGTGGTACCGGTTGGGGAAAGGTGACGCAATTCACGAGACAACCCTTCTCTGACCCGACGAAAAAGGGGCCGAGCCTCCAAACCCCCTTCACGTCGGCAAGGCTGGTCGTCATTTCTGCAAGAGCGTCAAGCAAAGACCAAGTTAAGAAGACTGTCCGGCTCTTCCGTGCCTCAGACATGCATACGGGGTCGCTATGTTTATAAAGATATGCGAAGCAAAGTTCGGTTTCGAGGAGTGTCTTGTTTCATAATTGTTGAGCTTACTTCCATTTCGAGTGAAAGTGAAGCGGTGAAGAGATTCGAATGTCGGTTCCACAGTAAAGCCAATCGAGAGCTGGTCAAGAGGAATCCGCCGTCGTCTTGTTCTGAAACCCAACTTCGAATCTCTTCACCCAACAATTTCACTCGAAACGCAAGTAACCTCCACAATTATGAAACAAGAGATTCCTCAAAACCCAACTTTTCTTTGCATATGATGAATC